TATAAAAAACATTCTGCTTGCTTAGAGGTACTTAGAGGTACTCACACACACTCGGGTCTGAGTTGAAGTAGAGATGTCTAAACGGAGGTATGGGAACACCGATGTAGTGATCGCCTAACAGTGAGAACAGCAGCCTGTTGATCTCACTGGGACACAGCAGGGAATTGGCTTCGATGCGGAATGTATCCAGCACCTATACAGCATGGACAAACATACACCACATGTATAAAACAAAATAAACCCGTACCAGAAACTCATGAACTTGCAGGCACTTGCAGCAGGACAATATTGTTATGAAAACTAGAATCCATCAAAATGATGCACAATCGGGGCCAAGGTGAGAAATGCCACCGTACGTGGTGGTTTACACACAGGTATAATAATAATAATAATATTCGCGGGATCCGCGTCGGCATCGCTTTGAATGTTCGGAAACACAAACTAGCCTTCGCATCCGCAGGCCACCACTATGCCTGTTAACCTTAGTGGCGAATGCAGACCTCACAAGTGAGTCAGGGGAGAGGAGGTTAGTCTCTCAACCAATCGGGCGTGTAACGGCCCATAACCCTGTAAACTGCATCCTTGTTATTCTCACTCCGAGCTGTGAGTACCCAGTTGACCGTGGGTGTCGGCGCAGTTCAACACGCGTAAAAAGTCTTTCTACACGCTCCCTGCTACCAGCGCGGGTCTTGAACTCGGGACCTCATGATTCGCAGGCAGGCCTGCAAACCAATCGGCCATATGCGTTGGTCACACAGGTACATGCACTGTATACAGAGGATAACCTGTCAATGCGACCGCTCTGATAAGGCGACCACCTGTCCAACAGGACCACTGAGACCAGGACCAAGGGCTGTGATTTCCAGTCAAATGACCCTGGATAAGGAGACCACCTGTAGACGGGGACCACATTCTGTAAGGTCCATTGATCGGTCGCCGGAGACCGGTTTCACTGTACTGTCGTGAACACGGAAATCCGATGGGATCACCGGGGATTGTGCCCTTGCTGCCTCTAGCGGGTACATGCACAGATGTTCAAGTACACACTCTGTATTAATGGATCAGCAGTGCTAGCGGCTACAAGGCCGGCGCCCCGTGGCCACGCTTGACTTCTCAACGGATGTCAATGTCCGCTACAGTAGGTGTAATACCGCATACGTAGAGAGCTTCTCTTACCTCTGTCACGTTGAGAATGTCCAGCTCGTACCGGCCAACAATTGCCAAATGACTGAGCCCGTACACGTCTGTCAACACCGGGTTGTCTTTTATCAGGATACTACTGCAAGGTGCCAAGACAGCAAACACACAACAACCACACGTAGACAAGACCATATTTGAGTAACACAGGCACACAACACATTTGATCGCACATGCTTGAAAGAATAGCTTGTAAGACTATGTTGCAGTTCTTTCTGAAATGAAAGTCACATGTAGTCCAGATCACCCCCCCCCCCCCTCTCTTAGCAAGATTTTTGGTCCTAGCTCGATTTTATAGCGCATTCTCCTGGAGGACATTTTCAGACACGGTGTGTTTTCTCTAGGACATTTTACACACAAGCTTTCCCTTAGTAATTTTCTTGATCCTCCAACCCTCCGATTTTTTTGCTTGGTTTGGGAGTGCGGAGGGAATGGTAAGGTGGCTCAGGAACCCATCAGGACCGAAGAAACTCTCAATCAGCAGGACAAAAATTGAAATTAAAGTCTTCAGTATGATTTAACAACTGGAAGAGGATGAATAATTCGTGGGGATCGGGTTTCACGCACGAGGCAGCCATCAGCCAACCGGCTTCAGTTTGATAGGTGATACCAGACTGACTTATCCAGTCACGCTCTACATAAGTAGTAAGTACATTACCAAACAATCTGACAGTGACTTACTAGTTGCCGGCAATTGTCCTGCGTGCATAAACGTCCTCCAAGTTCCTGAAGAAGTTCAGGTTGTACATGCAAATGTTACCAATGATGAGTAGCAGGCCGTAGATACGCCTCACACTGCCCAGGGCTTTGATCATGGCCGAGTTCAGTGTGGTGATCCCGTAGTCGTTGTTGAGACACTGCGGAATCAGACCTGCGCGCATGCGCACATAACCATACACACCCACCCACACGCACGCACCCACCCACACACGAACGCACGCCCCCCCCCCCCCACACACACACATACACACACACACACACACACACACACACACACACAACCAGAAACACGCAACCACGCATGCACAAAGAGAACAGAAACAGAATTATACGATGTAGCCCAGACGGTAGCTCGGATAATCAAAGAGTCAAATAGCAATATCTTAGGAATAATTATACTAAGAAAGGGTTTGCTCCCCACACCGGAGCTCGCGCTATTCCGCCGACTTTACTTGACACTTGACTGACTCACGACTGCCATCCAGAGCACACGAGAAGTCCATCGAACCTTCGACTCGGCAAACCTGCAAGAAAGCACCACTCCCTGCTCAATACACAGTGTTTCGGGGAATTCACCCCTCATCACTTGAGCTTGAGTAGGCTGAGGAAGATTGTGCCTGAAGAGCACCACTTATATAGTGCTATCTCACGCTTCTATCTGGTGTTCACGAGGTGTTTGTCGCGCTGGAAACAGAGCGTCTCTTAAGTTTGTATCCCTGGTGATGTTTGTGCCTGGAGAGCACTATATAAGTGGTGCTCTTCAGGCACAATCTTCCTCAGCCTACTCAAGCTCAACTGATGAGGGGTGAATTCCCCGAAACACTGTGTATTGAGCAGGGAGTGGTGCTTTCTTGCAGGTTTGCCGAGTCGAAGGTTCGATGGACTTCTCGTGTGCTCTGGATGGCAGTCGTGAGTCAGTCAAGTGTCAAGTAAAGTCGGCGGAATAGCGCGAGCTCCGGTGTGGGGAGCAAACCCTTTCTTACAAATCATCGCCGAAGTCGCAACCACTACTTCGTAATAATTATACTAGTAAGAAAATTGGTTGAATACATATCAGGCGCTTTCGATTACACGTTTACACATTTCTGGATCTGGGTTTGGTACTTCTCGAATGACCAGAATTTACGGTTTGCGGCCATGTACACTAACGACTGGAATTCACAACACATTTTATTCAGGTCATGTCCCAAACAAAATTGGTCGTAAAAAGAGATCAAGTACACCCTTGCGCGCCAGTGGACCCAGCTTCGCGTTCCGGTCCATTCCGGTGAAGGCTCCATGTCGGCAACAATACTGGGCTTCGATAAAGCTGAACGCATGTGTGAAAGGACCACCCAAAATGATCTGGTAATACTAATAATCAGCTCACAGCGGAAACTCAACTGCGGCAATTAGCTTTTCGGGAAGACAAAACTAGCAACTACATGCCAATGTAGCCCTGCTTTTGGGCCACGCCAGCCAGGGAGGCTCTTCGCACACTTGAGTCATGCATGACCAGACCGGTTATACGCCGAGTGTGCAATTCTGGCGCCAGAATTAGAGAAATTCCGTCCTCTCTTCAGAATTGACCGAATTGGGTAAATCAATTGTAACGACGGAATTTGTGTAATGGAACTGTGCATCAACAATAACTAATTCTAGAATTGACCGAAATGTGTGTAATCTAACGCGCCCATTGCCTATTTGTACGGAATGTGTAAGCCATGCATGCGCGCTGGCAAGCATCAGACGTACACTATTCTAACACTACCATGCCTGGGTGGCTGTGCAGGCTACTGCACAGTGCCTGTAATGATGTGATCAGTCTAAGTGAGAATCAAAGACCAGTTCTTCCTCCGAGTGAAAGTCAGTGATACTGTAAGACCAGTGATGTTAACGAACATTAAATTCTAACGATTGAACGAATTTAAAAAAATCGTTAACATTTGAAGTCCTTATGTACTAAACAATATGTACATGTACAGTCATTAGCCAGTTTTGAGACAAAATTCGTTAGAATTTCACCTCGTAAACCACAAAAAATCCGGAGATCGTTACGTTCAAATATCTGGTCTTACAGTATCCATACTCTGTGTGCTGCATACTCACCGGGATTATTGATGCTCAGGATGAGATCTCCCCGTACGTCTGTACAGCCCACGAATCCACAGAGCTGTGTCAGCGACTTCACCACTATGCCTGGGCACGCTGTACGGGAAGTAACCATTAGTGAGAGTAACGTTAACACACACACACACACACACACACACACACACACACACACACACACACACACACACACACATACACACACACACATACACACACACACATACACACACACACACATACACACACACACACATACACACACACACACACACAGATGAGAACAGCAGCCTTGTGGATATGTCAGAGAGTCATATCTAAGATCACAGGTGAGTGGTCTCGGCGCTACAACGCGCCAACCAACTCATGAGCTGGGATTATGGTAGTAGTTTGGCATGCATTGACCAGTGAAGGCAGGGGCGTACCAGATCACATCTGTGGTGTAGTGACTATGTACCAGATCACTTCTGTGGTGTGGTGACCATGTACCATGGAACCCTCGTAGCTGGAATTTGCCCAGTTTGACTATGTGGTACCTATGATGGCCATCAGCTGGTACTATGCTGACTACACACCAGCTACACACCTGCAAGGGTTGTGCAAAGGCAAATAATACATAGAGTAAAACCGGTGACTAAAGACCACCCCTAGGCCCTTGGGGCCAGAGAAAGCGGTCTTTAGTGGCAGGTGGTCCTTAGTTAGATGTTTGCACCACACAACCATGAATGTGAGACTGTCCGTGCCTGGCGAATTGGTCTTCAGTACCAGGCTTTCCGCTAGTCACGGTGGTCTTTAGTTACAGGTTTTACGGTACCTCTCATGCATGGCACTCCAGGCTGGTCCTCTGTGGTACTGCACGATTGACAGGTTGAAGAGCGTGAGTCGGCCTGGAAGAACGGCGGACAGCTGATCTGGCATTGGCTCAGCTGGTTGCTGCTGTTCCCGCTCGGTGCAGAGAAGTACGGCTCGTATAGCACACTGGTGGGTGATGCTGTGACGATTGTAGGGCAACGCTTCACACAGACTATGCCGGCAAACTAGAGTATACGGTACACATGCATGTGCACACACACACGCACACACACACACACACACACACACACACACACACACACACACACACACACACACACACAAGCACATACACACGCACACACACACACACACACGCAATACAATCATACACTTGTTCGGCTCACATTTGGTGTGAGCAAAATTTTGAAAAGTCAACCTAATCGAAAATCACAGATCAGTTGAATGGAGTATATCCACTGCTCCCTTGATCCGTTTATCTTCATTAAATACTGTAAACAATGGAGTTTATCCACTGCTCCGTTGATCCGTTGATCTTCATTACCGTACTGTAAACACTCTAATTTTAACGACACATAAACATTAGCGAATGTAGCCAATCAGTCAACTTCACTAACGTTTGGGATCGCGAATCCTTTTTGTTTTAGTGAACAGCACATCACATACATGTGTATACCAGTCTATGTTACCGTGTAGTTTTCTGAGCTTTTTTTTCCTTTCTTCACCAGTACATATACTGTAGATCTACATGACGAGTACTCCGTTTGCTCACATTACCCAAAAAACTGTCTGCTCCTATCGCTAAAATAAAAGTTCGCTAAAACGTCGACAATTCCAAATCGCTAAATATATTGGTCGCTACAATTCGGGGGTTAACAGTATTCAATTTGTTAATTTGTTAAATGGGCCACAAGAGAGTGTGTGTGTGAGAGGGGGGGGGGGGGGGGGAGGGTTACGGTAATGTGTAATATTGTCCTACCAGAGGACACGACTCTCCCCATGGTCATCTGGTGACTGCGTCAGATCAAGAATGATTACTCTGATCAGGAATCTGAACATGCAAGGGTAGCTCGCAATGACATTGTTAATCCCACTCACCAGAGAGGTATCGCTTGGACACGCATCCACGCACTGGTTCAAGTCCTCGCCAGCGTAGTACGTACACACAATCGGCGTACCGTACCGTGCTGCTGGTGACGGCGGAGGAGGAGATGATGACGGTGGTAATCGTGGTGACGCGGTGCTGTTCTGCAGCAGCGTGGGGAACGTGGCATTGGTTGAGTTGTCGCTGGTTGCCATCGTAGGGGCTAGCCCTGTCCGATTACCTTGGCTAGTCAGTCTGGCGTCCGACAAGCACGACAAGTCCACATCTTTGCAAACAAACACACAATAAACAAAGGCAGCGTGAACTGATTTGTGTAATACCTCGGGTCCAGTGTAACACCAATTGAAGCGGCTCCTTTGCGGAATAATCACTCCAGCACTAGTACATGACCGCAGTCACTCAGTCATCCGACTGGCCTCTAACAAAGATACATGTATTGTACTCAATCTGCGGACGGAACTATTTCGTCCTTTGTGGACTCATGAGCGCAGAACAGAGAACATGAGGCTTAGCCTAATGCCAATGACAAATAAATTCTCCAAAGCCGGGTTTAAACCAGGCCCTAATATACCTTGCTTGTACTCATGATAGCAGGGTGCACACTTCTCTTACACACAGCATTCACACGGGCATAATTGAACAACATTCTCCTAAAATAAAAATGCCCGTCTTATCAAAATCTCAATGCTGTAGACCTTAGCATTTACTATGTTGATACCCAGTACTGTGTGATAACTATCTATTGTATTTGCAAGAGTATATTTATGCAGGTTCACTGAAGCCAAACTCTTTCCTCACAAACAAATTAACATGCTGCTCGTAGATGAACTTCAGTCATTAGTGACTCACCGTACGGACAAAGGAACGTGCCGTCAAACCTGCGATCGCAACACATCACGGTGGTGTTGGCGGTCATGTTGACATCCACCGACACACCGGTCCTGGCCATGGGTAGCTGCCCATCGCAGTCGATCGGCACCACGTCGTCGGACGGACTCGAGTACACCGTTCTGTTCTTGGTGTAGTATGCGATGCGACCGCGCAGGACGGCAATACCGTCTGTACGGTCGCGGATCGCACCGTTGCTCACCAACATTGTAATGTTCTCGTAGTACTCGTACGGCACGCCGACAAACAGTTTGAAGCGCTCCAGCAGTTGTATGGGGCTCTCCTGGCCGTGCACGGCGATCAGGTTTGGGAACACGTCGCGTACCGTCCACGGCGTAGCTAGCAACACAGCCAGCACGGACGTCACGTGCCGCAGCGATGGCAGCTGGATCTGCGAGAGGTTCGCCACGTCCACGTTCCCGATGTTCACCACAAGGCTGCCGTTGAGGATCTCACAGCCGTAGGATCGGAACACCGCAAACGCCTGCAGGTCGTTCAGGGCCAGTGTTGAGCACACTGCATAAAAGCACACAATCATGTGCAATTCAAAATAATGGTCTAGTATATCTATAGTAAAACCTGAAGATAAGCGACCTCTTGGTTAAGCGACCACCTGCTCTTAACGACCGTTTTTCCATGCACCGACAGTATTACACAGAAACTGTGGGACCTGGTTCTAAAGACCACCTGGCTTTAACGACTGCTTTTGCTTGCACCTTGGGGTGGTCACTTAAACCAAGGTTTACTGTACCTCTGTATTGAAACAAGGAAAACGGTGAAAACGGTGGAAAACGGTGGGCCACAAAGTTATGCGTTAGAGTCCACCAACTAAACCAGGTTTTGAACAGTCAGACGTGCACAAGGTAGCACCAGACTGACAAGGGGTACTGAGATATTCCCGGGATAGGAAGGAAGCTTGAGCACTGCTCGATAGCGCTAACCAACGGCTTTCCAACTTCATAACTTGTGCCCCACCGTTTTCCTTGTTTCAATGTCATATTTTCCTTGGCTCACTATCCGAGTACTTAAAACTTGGGAGAATGAAGTTGAAGACACCACTGCAGCTGTACTTATGGTTGATAAATATGGTGGTAAAGACACACCTGGCAACATGGCGGTAAACACACGCCTGCCCACACACGCTCTCTAGGCTGCAAAGTTCTGGCACAGAGCTCTCCTTCTCACCACCACTTCCTCTGTCAATCAAACACACAGACACTTCGCCCGTGCATTCCCTGATATTCATGAAGCCGGGGTTAAACCCACTTTTGTGCCATTACTCTACACAATACAATTGCACACACGGCCTGCGACGATCGCATACCAACTTGCTGGCATCACAACAGTACACTCCAGTATGGTATTGCCATGGGATCTTCTATCCCCATCATATCTGCAGTGGTGCCTCCATTCAGTGCTCTAGTTTGTTTGTCGTGATTCAACCACTCATGATTCAATGTTCAAAATCTTGACTTGAAGTCGCTGCAATAATAATGGCATTGTGTTCTACTTGATGTACAAAATGACTTCGCCACGGAATGCTATTGTAGGCCATCCCGGTCGATGCAACTAAAAACAAGCAGAAATACAGTCGACCTAGGCTAGGGCTGGGCTAGGGCTAGGCTAGGCTAGGCTAGATGCCTCACCTGTCCAGTTCTTCCTCGGATCGCCCGTGTAAGCTGGAAATGTTGGAATAACGTCGTCATCGCCATGATCATCTCCCTCATCGTCTCCGTCACCATCGCCATCGGGTGGGTCGCCGCCTCCGCCACCATCAGGATCGGGGTCTCCTCCGCCGCCTCCGCCTCCAGGCATAGTCGATGCCAGCGGGGTCGACGCTGGGGGCGAAGTGGCCATTCTCGACGGAGTTGACTGCATGGTGGTCGGCGCAGAAGAAGGCCCAGCCGTACTTGTAAGTGGGTGCGCTGACGCTGGTGACGATGGACTGGAAGTGGTGCCGCCGGCCATAGGCATAGGTGTTGCTGGTGAGGCTGACGACACTGATGTTGAGTCGTCCGACGTCCCATTTTCAGTTGTGGTGCTTACTGTTGCTGGCGGAGTCACCGACGCTGACAAACTAAGCTGTGTTATGTGCACAGGGCACAACAGCACCAGAGCTAGCGGTAGAAGCCAGCTCAACAATTCGCTGCTACCTTTTCTCTTTATCAGCCATGCCATGTTTCCGACACAGCAAGCACACGGGACGGAAAAAAAAAGGTGTTCGTTGTGCCTGAAGTATTATGATCTCGTCAAATCCAAAACAATTGATTCAATTATTTCTGCCCAAGACTCCAACTACTTACTGTACTGGTACAATAATGTAACCACACCCATTCATTCAGTCGTGTGTAAACTGCTTGATGCTGCACTGATACTGCACTGATAGCCACGCACGTAGATCTATGGACCTGTCGTGATCATCCACCCGGCCATCCTCCAAACTACCAGCACTGCAGCAGCCACCGCTTGTTGCTTGTCTTGATCCTGTGATCTTTGCCAACTTTGGAACTGTTCTCTCAAAATTGTGTAATGTTTCCGCTTTAGCTCGCCCGAACAGTATGAACTCATTTTGTTCATGGGTCCGCACATACCGGTATGTACATGCGAAGGGCGTTGTAGAGTCATGGCCGAAACAAGTACTGAACTAGCTGGTACTACACAGCCGGTATGTCGACGAAATCGTGCAAATGCCAATGGACCAGCCAAACACTACAAGTCTGGTAGATACGTCAATGCACGTAGACCTACTCGATCCATGATCCATAGATATCTATACACTGGGGTTCGAATGATTATGATTGTGGAAACTGTCACGTGTAGATCTACTAAGTACTAGTGCTGTCACACCTCCTGTCAAAAATACGAATATGAGTTAGTGCCTTGCAAACTAAGCGCGGTCCTTGACAGGTCGACATCCAGGCAAAAACAGCCATAAATGGCTGGAGTGTGACTACGTCGCTACGAAGCATGCAGAGAAGAGGCAAATATTATGACCAAGCAGCTTTCAACATAATCAGGTTTCGCTCTTTTTCACTATTGAAATTTAAAATACTATTACGTATATTTATATAAAGTAAAAAGGCCCAAGGAACTACAAGTTACACCATAATGTCCACTAACACCACCAGTTACTAAACAATCACTGAATCAGCTCATAACATTGCACGACACTGAGTCTGACCGACGGTACTGACGTTCTACAACTAACTGGCTAACAGCTCTAGCACATCTTAGATGCGCACTCCAACAGCCTTCCAACTTGGAAGGTTCTAAGTTCTAGAAATAACATAAGGAGGGGAGTGCAATGTTACCGCATGAGCTGATTGTTCAGTAACTGGTGGTGTTAGTGGACATTATAGTGTAACTTATAGTTCCTTGGACCTTTTTACTTTTTATAAATAAATCCTTGGCTCTCCATCCGAGTTCATTATTACGTATTAATTACTATAATTATTATGGCTTTGTACATTCTTCCTTTCATGCAAGTGTTTTCAGTACCTGAATTGTGTTCTTCTTCTTCTTATTATTATTATTATTGCAAATAACGCTGAGTAATTACACGAATGCATAAAAACCAGCATTTGCTTCCGGGAAGGATTCACAAACATAAGACAAAAACACCATGGCTCAATGTAACTGCACATACGAAAAGCAGCTTCTATTGTCAAGTTCAAGTGGCAATGTCAGAAAGACGGTAGACTGTTCGTGCACGATGTTCACCCTGCAGGGGATAAGTCAAGGACGCGGCTCGGCAGAGGAAGATGAGTGCCGCGGGGTGCCATTCCACCGTGACTTATCCCCTGCCAACTGCCGCAGCTGATTAGGGCCTCTAAGCGTGCCCAGGCGAATGCCGAGTCGGGCTAGGCAGTCCTGAGAAAGAGCTGAGAGGAGAGTTGTCCTGGGTCGGCCCAGTCGACCGCGCAGGCTCGCGGTGGCTGAAAACTCGAACACGCGCTGTGGGGGAGAGCTCTTCTGCATTCTCAGTACGTGACCAAGAAACTCCCAACGCCGTTGGTCAATCTCGAGCGAAATTGGTGCTGAGCCGCAGATGTCGTACAGATGCTTGTTGGTAATTGTGTTCGGGAACTTAACGCCAGCCATTGTTCTCAGATGCCTTCGATGAAAGGTGTCAATCCCTCTGGTGGTGGCATCTGTGAGACCCCATGTCGCACAGTTGTACAACAGCACTGGCTTCACATAGGTATTGTACAGCGCAACTCTAAGCAGTAGGGAGGTAGATTGATGCTTGAAGAGTGCGTACAACGAACAGAATGCCTGGGTTGCTAGGGCCTTTCTGGCTTGGACATCTTGCGCTGAGCCTAGCCGTGATCCCAGCGACTTCGCATTTCTCCATGCTTCGGAACCACGCTCCTCCAGATCATCAGCAAGGTATATCTTTGTTCGTTCAGTTTTGGAGGTATTAACGGTGAGGTTATGGCTTGGGAGGGTCTCTGCACATTGATCATGAACGTCCTCTAGCTCTTGCTCATCAGTTCCAATGAAGTCTAGATCATCCGCATACTGCAGTTCAGGTGGTAGGATGTCGTCAGGAGGGGAGTCAGATCTGATACCTCGCAGTGCACTCTCAAAGTAGCATGTAAACAGAATCGGACTAAGACTGTCACCCTGTGGTGTGCCAACGTTCGACCTAAAAGGGGGCGCTGTTTTTCCCTGCACACGTACCTGAAGGTGTTCTACTCCTCCATAAATGGCCAAGGATCTGCTAAAACCACCCTTTGGTGCTATTTTGCCGAAAATGAGTTTTTGGCGGGAAGTTGGTCCCTGGCCATTGCCCGAACATATGGTGAAGTATTAGGCTCAAATTGTATATATTCATTGAAATATGACCCATCTTATGCAAGCTTTTGGTGCATAAAAATGCCGAAAATAATTGATATTCACACTATAATTCGTATCTGAGGCTTCATACACCTGTCTAGGATACACCTGTCTATGTACAGAGAAAAACTATTTTGCACAGTTATCCAGTATTCTACTATGTATGTTCCGAACATAATTAGGACATTGGCTCTGCTTGGTCTGGTGCTGGGCAGGTGGTATCTCTGCTCTCTGCGTGGCAGTGCTGACGAATCTGTTGGTGCAAGTACTTTGCACACTCCGTGAGATTCCAGCCGTCTCGAGCGTCACTGGCAGATGATCAGATGCCAGGCAGTAATACACTTTTGATAAAAATCACGGACCACGTTAGCTTCATCAATATGAGCTTTGAGTGCGTCAGTGTGCTTAAAAGCGAGTTTCTGCCGTTCTTGCCCTTACGATCTGAGACTGCAGATCGGAACATACACCGCACACATCTTCTTTTGGCCTCATAATTATCACATCACTGCACTCGCTGCTCCATATTTTCAGGAACGTTGTGTATGCTACTGTTCCTCCAGCCTTGATATATTCAGTATGCGCATGCTTCTTGGTAGTAGCACATGGCAGGTAAGTTGGAGCGGGCCTCTGGCCTGGGGCAGCAGGCTGGGGAAGTCCATTGATGTCACCATAGTTGCAGGCAGTGCATTCCAGGGCAAAGTACCCTCGAGCCTCACGTGCGTGCTGAGGGGGAGCGACAGCATGCTCATACTCATAGACATCTGCCTTAATTTGTTTTAGCTTCCACTCCTTTACCATGATTATGTGCGTACATGAAAACAGTCTGGCACACTTCGTCACCATCCACTTCATAGTGATAAGTGGACGGGACCTTTCTCCGCGCTGCATCCGTTGTGCGATGCTTCCATGGTGAGAAGTAACTGCACCGCGTCGTCTAAACACATCGAGCTTTCCAGCGACGTAACAGTACAGCTCCTCGTTCGTCATTGCGAGCGCTGTGTTGCGTGCAGTGAGTAGAGTATCCGGTGTCGTTCTTGAAACAGTTGACATCGGCACAACTGCAACCTTTGTCCACTCGCGCCTGTACCTCTTCAACAGTACTGGGCGCCGCCTGGCCACGGGATTTCTTAGGTTGGCCCTGCCCTAGGGCGGCGAGGGCTTGTGCTGGCTGTAGCGCTGGCGCCTCGTCCAAATTCTCCTGCGCATCGATCGCAAGCGCGATCGGCAGGGTCACGAGCGGAGAGGCGTCGGTCGATTCGTCATCGCTCTGGTCGTCAGAATCTTGATCTGACCACCCGAAGAACGATCTATCGTCATTTGGCAGTGCTGACGACTCCGCTGCCGAGAATCCGACAACAATTTGTGCGAACGAGCGCCTTCGTCCTCCTTCCGCCATGACTGTCACCTGCGATGATGAGAAAATCGAGACGTGCTGACGTTTTCATCATTTTCTCCGAAAAATTACACAGCACCGAAGGGTGGTTTTAGCAGATCGCGGGCCAAATTGCAAAATTGTGTTTTGTTTGCCCGTAAAAAGAGGCTTTGTGCTCCGTAGTGCTTCGGGGTCAAGGAATTAAGTGAATGCTGTTCACCTTGCGGCTGAGTACCTTGCGCAACGAATCTGCTGGGTAGGAGTGCTAGTAACGAACGATCCTCCAAGTCCAACTCAGACGGATCAGACCTGAGCCTAAACAGAGGTACATGACTACATACATTGTCCCATGGATGGTGATCTGGATGTCGCAGTAAAGACCAGCAATTTTCATTAGCCATTTATTAATACCGGTAGTAGGATATTAGAGAGGGATGCACGTTATTTTTTGAATTGACGCGAAAGTTCAGCTCGCGTTATTTGGTTCGCGTGTTGGAAAGCAACGCGAGTCGAGTGACCCGCAGCTCCAGTCGAAATTTGGAGTTTATTATTATTATTATTATTATGAGCTCAAAAATGGAACGAAAAATAGCAAATAGAATCAAAACTCACGATGGAATCAAACTCACGATGGAATCAAACTCATGATGGAAACTACAACCCAATGAGTTGGAAAACCAACCACAGAATTAGATATTGGGAATAGAGTCAGACACAACAACAACCGAAATCAGTACACCAAAAATCTGTCCTACAAAAACCAAAGGAACAAGAAAAACAAGAAAGACGAAGTACAAAGAATCCCCAAAAAAGAGGGGAGAACGGGATGAAAGAGGACCGGAGAGCGGCAAACCCCAGGAGGACTTAGCGTCACGTAGTGGCGGGAATGCGGGCCTCCACAGAAACAGCATCCACACCCGCCGCCAGACCAGGTGCACGGAATTATTATTATTATTATTATTATTAAAAGCATGTCCGCGTAGGTGGCGGGGGTGCCACCCTCGCTTATGCCATTCAGGATTGATGTCTGAAGAGTAATACGATACAATGAAATGACAGAAGTGACGTCAACAAAAGCCGTTAGCAACAATACCAATATGACTAATGGAAAACTTCATCCAAAGTATAAAATAAAATAGAATATGCATACAACATGTCTGGTCAGTCCTGTTAGGTGGGGCGGGCTCCACGCCATGCCTGTCGGTCCGCTGCCATTGTGCGGACTGCGTCAACATCTAGCGGCTGGTGGAGGCCTGGAGGGTAAGTCCATGCCATGATAACAGTTCCGTCTGCAAGACCGTTACCAAAGTCGTCCGAGGTCGACCCCTGAAGCGTTCAGTGCCCTCGTCGTTGGCCAGGCGAAGATACATAT